GAACGTTAAAATTCCTAACTTCCTTCTAAGCTTAATTTCTTAGTTAGCATTGCTTTTTTTTCCTCCTTAAATTGTCATATACACACATATATGTATATGTATATAGATACACACACATACACAAACACATATACATATATACATATATATATACATATATATATACATATACATACACACACATATATTATATGTATTTATATTTTGAGTCTGTCCCTACTAGGATTCATTTCAATTCAACAAACATTTATTAAAAACCTACTGTGTGCCAGGAATTATGCTAGATGTTAGGGCCATAAAAATTAAAATGAAACATTTTCTGCTGTCAAAACCAGATAGAGCTTACTAGAATGTAAACGTCTTGAGGAAAGAGACTGATTTATGTTTTGTCTTTGTGTCCCTCGTACTTAACATGGTGCCTTGCCTCTAGTAGATACTTAATAAATGCTTGTTGGATTGGTATAATTTGTAGCATATAAAAATTATGGTTTGATGAAATATAAATAAATCTACAAATCCATCAATGAAGGAGCACAATATACTGTAGAAGGGCAGCAGAATAAAGCAAAGTCCAAGTGGACCATTTGAATTTCAAAGAAAGGAGGCATCTTTATTTTATTTATTTTTTATTTTTTAAAGTGAAAAAAGTGTGCTTTAATTTGCACTCAGATTCCATCAGTTCTCTCTCTGGGGTAGGATAGCATTTTCCATTATGGGTCCTCATGAATTGTTTGGATCATTGTACTGATCAGAATGGCTAAGTCTTTCACATTGTTCTCGCATTGCTGTTACTGTGTACAATGTTCTTCTGGTTCCGCACACTTTACTTTGTATTGGTTTGTATCTTTCCAGATTTTTCTGAAAGCATTCTGCTTGCCACTTCTTACAGCACAATAGTATTCCATCAGAACCATATACTACAACTTATTCAGCCATTCTCTAGCTGATAGGAATGCCATCAATTTCTTTTATTTGTTTTGTTTTGTTCTGTTTTTTATTTAGTTAGCAATGGGGTTAAGCGACTTGCCCAGGGTCACAAAGCTAGTAAGTGTTAGGTGTCTGAGGCCAGATTTGAACCATCAATTTCTAATTAATGTTCCTACTCTCAATGTGCTTGCATTCTAAGGGGGGAGACAAAAAAAGGTTAGATGCCACAGAGTAGGTGGCAATGCCTTAACCGTATATGTGCTGTAAAGGCCACTAAGGACCTCTTCCATCCTTATCAAGGGGAGTGCTGACCTTCTCTCCTTTCATACAACATAAAAGGAGGCATCTTCAACAGCACACAGCGGTGGGTCACTTTGTGGCTACAAAGAGAGCCCACAGAACAGAAAACTGGTTGGGTAGTTATTCTCCAGACATGCCTTTTAAGCATACGATGCAAAAACCATATTTATATGAAGCTACATGTGCACAAAAATGGCAGTGCTTCAATTTCTGGAAATGACTGAACTGGAGGAAAAATTACCCCCAGATTGGAAGGAAGAGATATTAGTAGGTAGGATGTAAGTCTGCTTTAATTTTGTGAGTCTGTCAAAAGTCATGTGCAAATTAAATCTTTTGGGAAAGGTAAGACAAAATCAATGAAGTCATCTGAATTTAGCATTTCTGCTCAGAATCTGAAATTTGCACATCTCTCTGGCCTGTGGCAAATGGCTTAATTTCTCTCTGCGTTGCTGTGATAGGACTCATATCTATCACAGTTTCCCCATAGCATGTCAGGCCTACCTCCTTTTCTTTTCTTCCTGCAACAGGGGTTAGTTTTCCCTAAAAGGAGACAAATATCTTGGGACCTGATTGGTCCCTTTTTCCTTGACACAGATTCCTGGTCAACAATGGGCACAAAACGTCATTACAGTCATTGCCCCTCCAGCTTCATGGTTTTCTGAAGATCATTTGAATCACGATGTTCTTGACTCTATCCTGCCCTGATGACCAGACACATTTCCATTTGGAGAAGAGGGAAGATAAGTGCCACCATTTTCTCGTTGCATATCTTTATTAAGTTAGAGCAAAGTAAACCTGCCTTTTGTTAACTTTTTCAGTGAATTGCAAGTGCCTCATTTCATCCCAACATGAAACCTGAAGTAAGAGAGTACTAATGTTCAAACTACCTCTAACAGCTGCCTTTTCTTTCTGAAAAATGTGGGCATGAGTTTGCCGTGTGATATCCACATCAGCAGAAAATGAGTTGTATTTATCCCTTTAAGAAAAGATGGTCTAAGGCCAACATGGCTATAGTGATAAATATTCCTTCAGATCTGATTTTTTAGGGTCTGTAGTGCCACACCACGCCTCTTTCCCAAGTGTACTATACCTCATAGCAATATCTAAGTTAGCACGGGTATTTTTTGTTTAAGGCCATCATTTCATTTACACTTCGCTATCCTCTTAAGAATCATAATAGTGGATAGATAGCAATTCAGGTTTAGGAATTGCCTTATATACATATCTTATCTGATCCTCACCTTGAGGATTAGGTCCTTCAGATATCTTTATAGCCATTTTATAAGTTAAGAAAGTGGGCCTCAGGGAGTTTAGGTGACTCTCCCAAAGGCATGCAACTAATAGGTATCAGAGACAGGAGTAGCACCCTAGACTTAACCTGACATTAAGTTCAACATGGTTTATAACATACTGGGCTTTACGTGGCTTCCCAATCAAATACTTTTAATTTGGAGCAACTTTGCATCCAGATGCTTTCATACAAGCCTAGGGCACAATTGCCTAGTAAGAAGGAAATTCAGTTAAATTGGTGACAGTCTATGAAAGTATTAATCCTCAGAGAATCCAGAACATACAACAGGGCTGAATGAAATTCCATCTAAGAGTTGAGGGCCACAGAAAACGCAGCTGTTTCTAAAAGTCTCCTGGCATCCCAGTCACCAGAACTGTGACCTTTGTGTCGTCCTTGACTCTTCTTTCTCCATTGCTCCCACCCCAATATCCAATCAGATATCAAATCTTATCGATTATCCTTCCACATCACCTCTCACCATCTACCTACCTTCTTTCTACTCACAAAGCCACTACCTCTTCCAGGTCTTTATTACCTCCTTTGTGAACCACCATTACAACCTTCAAATTAATCTCTCTGCTTTTAGGCTTCCCCTAACCCTCCACCCCCCAGCCCAAGTAATTTTCTACACTGCTGCCAAAATTCTCTTTCTAAGGCAAAGCGCTGACTGACACTTCCCTGCTCAAAACCCATTAATGACTCCCCATTGTTTTTATAAATAAACTCTTTATCTTGATATTTAAGACCCTCTTAAAACCATCCTTCCAGAATTATTTCACTAGAATTCTCTTTAGGAATTCTATGTTTCAGCCAAATGGGAATGTTCTCCAAACCTGGCATTGCATCTCCAACCTTGGTTTATTTGTACAAGTTGTCCCTCATGACTGAAATCTACCTTCCCCCACCCAATTCTGCCTCCTAGAAGTTTTACTTTTCTTCAATACTCAGCTCAGTTGCCTCTTCTTCCATGAAGGCTCCCCTGGCCATTTTCCCCAGTTGCGACATATGTGTGTGTGTGTGTGTGTGTGTGTGTGTGTATGTATGTATGTATGTATGTATGTATGTATATATACATACACACACACACACCCCTACATATTTATATACATACATATACACACAGAGATTTACAAACCACCTATATCTATATCTATATCTACATCTATACCTATATATGCATACATACAAAGTAGGTGCCTTAATGTAGGAAAAAAACTGACTATAGTTAACAGATAACCTGTAATCAAGGAAAAAAAAACTTACATGCTCTCAATCTTCCATAAGTCCATTTGGTAATTCCTGGAATATCTCTTCTTGTTCCCATTTTCATTCTCTTGTGCTGTTGTTTCTTTCAAGCCTTTTCTTTGGTTTTTCTCCATCTTTATCTTCCTTGGTTTCTAAATTTTTATTCATTATGCCAATTTCTCTCCTTTGTCTTCTTTTCCTCCCTACTGTTTTCTTCCTCTGTTTCACTTACCTTTTGTACCCGTTACATTCTCCAAACCCCTTCACCTATTCTTTAAATGCCCCATTTGCTGTTCTTCGTTGTTCTTCCCTTCCTACTAAGTTATAATATACTTAATTATTGGTTATGCCTTAAAAACATCCCTTGACAGACTTTTTCATGCAGTGACCCACGGCATTCATTTTTTAAAAGCACATTTCATTCATTTCTACTGTAATGTTGGTTTTTTTTTGAACAATGCTTGAAAATGGAAAGCTTTCTGAAACTTACAATGGTGAAACATTTCAGCCCTAACATCTTAGTTCTTCAAATTGTATGAAAAGATGCATTAGAGTTAATGTAGCTATGCTTGTTGCCAGAATAAAGAAAAATCACATTTAAAAGAAAGAGACTTTTGAGGGACTGGTAACCATTACCAAATTCTGTATCAAAACAAGACCATTGTCCTGATCTAACATTTAATGAATTACACAAGTTCTTAGTCCTTTTTTTTTTTCAGACCATAAAACAAGAGCACACAACTCAGACCTCTTGATGAGGTGGAGCTTTGTCTTGGGTGCAAATAAGGAAAGGACTCTAATACTGATTTATGAGTTTCCAAATTAAGTAGGTGCTGTTTAGAAACCCATCCAAGAGCACGTTCTTTCACAATGGTGAAAACAACCCAATTCCCATCGATCAATTCTTCAGGTCTATCCTATTTCATTCTCTGGCATCAGAGAAGATTAAGGTGCCTTAAATACACCAGCGAAACTTTGACTGAGGCAGAGATCCTATAGGTGATTTTGCCTCCATCTCTGGCTCATTTAGTAACAGCTATGGCATTTTCTTCACTCGGTCAATACTTTCTTAAAACTAATTTTCCTTCTTTCTTCAGATAACCATGGCTTTGATTTAATTTTGCTTTTTTGCTATTGTTTAAAATAAAAAAAACCCAGCTGCATGCTTGAGTGATTATGATGTCCAGTTGCCATATGTTATATAGATCTTTATGAGGTTACAATAATCAAAGGATACTTGTGGTCAAAACCATACCAGATTCGGAAAAGCCAAGCACTCTCTGCCTTTGTAGGGTTTCTGTCCAAATTATCTCCTCCCTGAAGGGGAAATGGAAAAAAAGAAATTAGATAACTGGTACACTACATTTCAGTGTAAAAATACATGTCAAACCCAATTACCTTTCAAAGCAATGTATTACTTTCTACTCCATTCAACAAACCATTTATGCTAGTTGCTGAGTCAAAACGAGGGTAGTTCCTACCCTCAAGGAGTTCCCATTCTTCTGTAGGAAAATGATGTAAAGCTAGCCACTCTTACACGTAGAAGTTCCATTATTTGGAATACTTTAAGGATCTGGAATATGGCCTATGTGGGTACTTGACCAAAGAAGACTGAAAACCCTTTAGGATTTAGTTAATATTTTTAAAGCATTCTTGGGTCCCAGCTATCAGAGGTAGGGGAGTCATTCCATTATAGTCCTTTATGATCCTTTCCTGGAGGAAGGGCAGAACCTTTTTTTAAAATTAATTTATTTTAAACTTAACTACTAAACTTAAATATACAATAACAGAAGAAAAAGAAACATATTATAAACTTAAATACAAAATAAGAAAAGGAAAAAGAAACATTGCCACATGCACAACAGAATGTAAGGAGGACTCAAACTATGTAACAATAAATTTCTATTTCAAGCAAGTCTAAATGATAAAAACGGAGAATCTTGAGAAGACAAAGCAAAATCTGTCTCTCTTTTCTTTTCTCCTTTCCTCTTCTTTTCTTTTTCTTCATTCCCTTAAATATTTCCTTCCTTCCTTCCTTTTTCTCTCCCTCCTCCCTTCTTTCCTTCCTTCCTTTCTTCCTCCCTTCCCTCCTTCCATCTCTCTCTCCCTTCATTCTCTCTTTCTCCACAGTAGATAGATAGAGAGCTGGCCTCAAACCAGGAAGACCTGGATTCAAGTCTTTCCTCTGACACACACTGGCTATGTGACCTTGGGCTAGTGCACTCAGTGCTACCTCCTCCCCCCAGGGAACTCTCTAAGACATGAATTCTGAACTTTTCTTTGAGTAATGGATCCATTTAGTAGGCAGGTAAAGTCTGTAGGCCCCTTCTCAGAATAATGGTTTTAAATGCATTAAATAAAAATATAAGACTACCAAGGAAACCAATTATATTGAAATAGTTATTGACATATATTAAAAAAGAGAAAATACATTAAAAAATCATGGACCCAAATATGTGAATTACTGCCTTTAGACCATAATTTGCAGATCATGTCCCAATCTGCACTGATAAAGAGTTTCCTCACTAGGAGTTCTCTGCACCAATGAAATGAAAGATTTCGTCCAAAAGTATGTGTGTGCATGTGCACGTGTGTATGTGTATGCACATACATGCATGGGTATGTAAGTATGTATATGGGTGTGTGCCTTTGTGTCTAAGTGTATGTATGTGTACATATGTGTGCATGTGTATGTCTGTTTTATTAGATTTGCTGTCTCCCAGAAGAGATATTTTCATCCAAGCATGTGAACAGGTTGTCACACAAATTAGATCACAGACTCCGCTGTGTGGATAGCACTCTTGTGGAATGATTCAATGTTTACTTTTATCAATGATCCCCACTTTTATTAAGCATCCAAGTAGTATCATTTTCTAACATCAATAAAAATGATATTCTGTTAAATAGCTGTAGTGGGATTATTTCAGTTTACTTCTGCCAAATGAGATGGTATTTGTTTACTGCTTACACAAAAGGTCATCCCCAAAGGAATGATACAATTCTAGTAATTACCATTCCAGTTTCCTTTCCTTTTCTTTGTGAGAGGATGACACTGAAGATCATGGCAATTTTTGCTCTCTGTCCTTCCTAGTCCTGAATTATATATTAACAGGTGTTTCTATGATAAGTTGAGGGCATTCCCACCCTTCCCCTTCAGTCCCCTTCATGGCTAGGGAAAGAAGAAAAAAAAGAAGGGTACAAAAAGAATATGATTGGTGTGTATGTGAAAGAAGCATATAGGAATATAAGATAAAGGAGAATAAAATGTAATGAGCTTTAGAAACAGATGGCAATAAGCATTCTGGTGTGGAAAGAAGGCTACTCAGTGACTTAAAAAACCCACCTTTTATGCCTTCTGTTTTATATATTATGAGAAGATATTTCTAAGAGCCAATCAGATGATAATTATCATCATGGTTAAATACCTCTGAATCTTAATATGTCCTTCTTTGCCTTACTGGAATCCACATATTTCATTGCTAAGTGCTACCATTATTCTTCACTCTAATAATAATCATATGAATACTTTTATATATGTGATGACATATGTAAGACAAATGGCAACATATGCATGCTGTATCAGAAGCTGTCGTCAGATCAGCTCAACTTAATTTGCTTTTCTAGGTTACTCTTTGTCAAATAATTTTATTGCTCATTGATGATAGTGAACCAAATCCAAAATGGATATAAGTTAACACAGTTGGACTGTGACTGTAGTTACTGGGTCCTCACTCCCAGAAAACATAATGGGAAGGCAAAATGTGGTCTACTGTCATTTATCCTTTGTCTAAGAGCCAGTAAAGGATAATAATGAAATGAAAACAAAACTCTCAGCCTTTTTCTTTTGTTGCTGAACATTTTCAAATGCTCCAACTATTTCTTGCTTTGCTTTCATGTCATTTTGCTTGAGTTGGCACAGTACACCTTGTTATTCAAGGGTCCAAATTCATTGCTAGTCATTATAAGGAAGGCAGGGCGTCCAGTTGGATTCTTTCTCTTTCGGCACCTCTGCTTGACTATTCCCACCTGGGCTAGGTGACAGATTTGCAGAAACTGCCTTCTTCCTAGTCAGTGTGTAGCCTTTGCAAGTTCCCTCTATATCACCACCTCTCAAGTGGCCACATGTTGCTAGAATTTGGCTGTTAATAGTAAAAATGTCTCAGCTGGACCCACATAAATGGAAAAAGGTTCATGTCTGATGAGTGTTTCCCCCGTTTCATATAGACAACCAGCACTTGGAAGGCTTTTTCTGAAAAGGGATTGTTTTATAAGAATAAAAATGTCTCATCTAGATCCACATAAATTTGATAGGTTTATATCTGATGAATATTTCTCCCTGTTTTTAGGAAAACTAAAACTTAGTAGGATTTTTCTTGAACAGGGATTTGTGGTCTGGATTTGTCTTGGTTCAGCCACTAGATTACTCACTACGTGACCTTGGACAAATTCCTTAACCTCTCTGGATCTCAGTTTCCTCACCCGAAAAAAATGAGGGAATTGGACTAGATGACTTTATAGTACCTTCAAGCTCCAGTATCCTAAGATGCGCTCTCTCTCTCTCTCTCTCTCTCTCTCTCTCTCTCTCTCTCTCTCTCTCTCTCTCTCTCTCTCTCTCTCTCTCTCTCCCTCCCTCCCTCCCTCTCTGATTCCATTTTGATTCTCCACTTGCTTCTGTTGGTACCTCCAGAGATAGCTACTAGCCATGACTCCCTTTATGCAAATGCAAGTTTGGGGGATCAGGAGGTAGAAAATTCAAAGCAAGGGTGATCTTATGAAACCCCTCTCTTTCCTTAAACGCATTCGTGCGGCTCAGCTACTTGCGCAAAGCTTCTGTTTCGACATATTGTTGCTCTAATTCATGTGGATGTTGTCCACAAAGGACCATGCTTAGGTCTGAGCTATTTCTTAGCTAAACTCTTCTTAGTCACCGTCTACAAATCCAATTGTACATACCTGCTATCCACCTTTATTCTTTCTCAGTGAATTGATGTCTACTTGTCCCTAAAGTATTTCTGTGAGTTTGTGTATTGTTTATTGTTTATCATGTGCTGTGAGACTATTAGTCTTCTTCCTTCTTTTTGGTGAGAAAGTAATCTTCTTTCTGCAGCAGCCTTAAGGTGTGTTTTGTAAATATTGAAGGAGTTTGTGTTAAGATATTTTAGAATTGTTATAACCTTTCTTAGAGTTCCAAAAGTGTATGTATAGTAAAGCTTATGTCACACAGATGTTGATTACTTGTAGTGTTTTTCTTCTCATTAAGATTGTTGCTGGCAATGTGTATATTTTTGTTTGTGTTTTGTTTTCTTAACTCTTCATCACTTAACAAATGCATTCCAGTATTTCTCAGTATTCTTTGTATTTCTTAATTTTTATTTCTTATTATATTATTATATATCATTAATAATATATAATAATCATTCATTTATTTATTTCTTTAGTGCCATTCCAGTGTTGTAGGATCACAGGTTTAGAACTGAAATGGACCTCAAGTGTCATCTTGTTGAACCATTTCATTTTACAGATGAGGAAACTGAGGACCAAGAAAGTTGTGATTTGCAATATAGGCAGTGAGCATCAGAGGTAGAATTTGAATTCTGGTCTTCTGACTTCAAAGTTAGTGTTCTTTTTATATTTTGGAATATTTTAAAATATTCCATTACATGTATATGCCACAGTATATATTTATATATCCATATATACACACATATACATATATATGTATGTGTGCATGTATATTCTATACACACACACAGTGAGGATACATATATTGGGTAAATATATATATGTATACATATATACACACACAAATATGCACACATATATTCACACATACAAATATAACCCTAGTCATTTGACAAAGGGGTAATTTCTTTTTTTGTTGCTATTATTAAAAATGCTACTAGGAATATTTTTGTGCAGAAAGGATTTTATCCACTCATGTTAATAGCATCCTTATGGTTTAGCTATTTAAAAAAAATTTTAAATGTATTTTATTTCAAATTTATGGAATTAAACAAATGTTTCCATAACATAGCATAATTTTAAAAAGATGTTTGCACATGAAACTGCAAATCTATTATGTACAACTTGCTATTCCTTTTAAATATATAATAAAGTTATCATGTAACTTTTTTCCTTTTTTTTCTCCTCCCTCCCTAGAGATGGCTACCATTAGACACAAATATGTATAAGCACATGTACATATATACATACATACATATGTAAAATCATTCTATATGGACTTTATTTTTATCAGTTCTTTCTCTGGATGCAGATAACATCTTCATTCATACATCCTTTGTAATTAATTTTGGTAT